TAGTGGCTTCCCTTGTGCTGTAGGCAGGTGACTGAGAAGAAGCACTCTAGGGGGGAGGGGACAGTTCTGGCTCATGGCTTATGTACAGATACAGTCCACCGTGGTTGGGAAAAGGCATGGCAGCCTGAACTGCATGTGAGTGTGGCAGCTGGTGACATGACTCCACGGTGAGGAGCAATCAAGGCCTGCCCTCCTGCCCTTCTGCCCCACTTCCTGAGGTGAAGCTGCACACCCTAGGATTCTGCAGACCCCTGGGAAAGCCCTATCTGCTGCCGGTAAGAGCTCAAACACGCGGCCGCTGTAGACGTGAAGAGCAGGATCGTATGGAAGGGACAGAGCTGTGATTGAGACCAGTTCCTTAAATCTTAATGCAAGCCGAGAGTCTCAGAGTGAGAGAATGCATGGGTGTGTGTAACTCTCAGGCTAGGGCCATCAGTGAGAACGGGATCAGGCCAATCCGCCTGTGAAAATGCCCGGGCCACCGGAAACCTAAGTGTGCTTTAGAAGCAAAGGCCTTTAGGGGTAAGTTAAAAGCCAATGCCCTAAGTTGTTCCATACCATCACAATAACAGAGGGAAGGTCTGCTCTCCCGGCTGAGCTCCAAGCGAGACCCCATCTGCGTCCAGGAGTGAAGGGGCGACACCATCACTTTGGTCTTTCCAGTACTTATCTAACGTTCTGTCACACTGTTCACCATGCTCTAGGGAAAGAAGGAAACTCCCTGGGGACCAGGAGAGACACGGCTTCACCTAAGCACGCACCAAGAGCTTCCAGTGCACACAGGCTATCTTGCTAGATTTTTTCTGAATGTGTGATGCAATGGATATTCCTATTAACTGTCAAAATTCTTAGTTCCTAGCACATTGATAAGTTCTTGTTTATGTTATATGTATGGGTGTTGGCCTACATGTATGTATATGTACCACATGTTTGTCTGGTGTCTGCAAAACAAGGAGAGGGCATTAAAACCCCACCCAGAACTGGAGTAAGAGACAGTTGTGAGTCACCGGGTAAGTGCTAGGACAGAGTGCTCTGGAAGAGCAGCCAGTGTTCTTACGTGCAGGCCCCTCTCTAGCCCCCGGAGTAGTTCCGACTTGTACAAGACTAGATAACATGGTGTGCCCATGGGAACGACAAATTGAAACTACCCATCACGTGAGCTGTGAAGGATTCCCCCTCATGTCTTCACACACTCAGCGATGGCATAAAAGAGTAATGGGGTTAAATCACAGAAGAGGCCACACAGCAAAGCAAGACTCTCCACTCGCCAATCAATGACTCTAATCATCTATTAGGGTGGAAAATTTATTATAAATTGAAAACCCCAAATTCCATATGTATATGCTTCACAGAGCTCTTATTATCCTTCACACTTCTTCCAGGTCTGTAACACACGAGGCCTCAGACATTTCAGCATGCGATGTCAGTCATTAAAGCATAAGAACAAGACGGTTTGATAAAAACACATGCATTCCGGAGCATCGTAGGTTCAAGCAGAAGCTTGAACACATGCTTGCAGTTTCAGCATCCAGGACAGCAGCTGTGTGGGAATTACAGAACAGCATGCAAATGTCCCCACCTTCCAGCCGCTCCCTGATGGATGCTGAGTTTCTGCCATGGAATACTCTAACCTTGAGCCACTGAGATGCCATCTTTCTATATGACACATTTGCACAGATTATGTTTTAGAATTTACTTATTACTTGTTTTATGCATATGGATGTTTTGCGCCTGCATGGATGTTTGTGCACCATATGCATGCAAATGCCCTCAGAGGCCAGAAGACGTAACAGATCTGCACCTGGAGTTACAGACAATTGTGAGCTGCCAAGTGGGTGCTAGGAACTGAACCTAGGTCCTCTGGAAGAGCAGCCAGTGCTCTTAACTACTGAGCCATCTCTCCAGGCCCTATCATCATAGTATTTTATATATGTCCCTATACTCTGTTCTAACCTGTCCTTATCTCCACTGGTAAGAAGACTTCTCTATAATATGCAACATAAGTAGGTAGGTATATACTTAATATGAAATTGAACATTAAGGCACATATATTGAAATACTCATGTAATCATTTCATTTTCCTTTGAAGTCGGAGAAACGCTGCTGTCTGAGGCAGCAACTCTCAAATGAATGTGATAAGTGGCAAAGAATTCTGGGAGCAAAGGAGACTGAACCCTTTCAATGCCTTGCCCTGTGATGACACACCATCACCATTCTCGTACACAAATCAGCGGAATTGTGACTGGTGAGAAGGAGCACAATAAATATACACAGAAAGACTGTCTGGACCAGGATTGCAGGATCATCCTCTTTACAGAACTAAAGTCAGAAATCTTACAATGTAACCGACAAAGCATGGGCTTGCCATTTGTTTCCTCATCCTAGCAGGACGTTAGAGGACCTGGAAGATGGTTCAGTGGGCAAAACTCAGTACAAGCATGAGGGTCTGACTTTGAACACCAGTATCAATTATTAGGAGTAGGTTTTTCCTGCTGCCCTGGCCCCACCGCCGCACCTGCCCCAAATAACACACAGAGACGCTGTATTAGATATTATGCTGTTTGCCAGTTACTTGTTTCTTATTGGCTAGCTCTGTCTTAAACAGTAATCCATTTCTATTAATCTAAGTATTTCTACGTGGTCTCATCTTACCGGAGAGAGGGCCCGGACCTCTGTTCTCTCGGGTCTCTCCATCTTGACTCCTCCATACTACTTCCTCTCTCCTCCTTGTCTCCTAGTCCCGCCTATCTTGCTTTCCTATTGGCCAACAGTGCTTTATTCATTAACCAATATGAGAAACATCTTTACCGAACGACATCTCCCATCCATCAATGTGGGCATTATAATTTATCTGTAATCCAGATCCTGGGAGTCAGACATTCCAGGTCAAGCTGCCTAGCTATACTAGCTTAACTGAGGGGACCTCTGAGTTCAAGTGAGAAACACACCCTCAATACATAAGGCAGGAAGCCATCGAAGAATACAGGCATAAATGTACCCACATGTGACCATGTTAACACACACTGTGGACACCACACACATATGCACATCTACCATATAATTCTGTTAACTCTATGGCAACCTTACTATGTGAGGAGGTTGCCTAGCCAACAAAGGCCAAACTTTTAACACCTTACAGAAAGAAGCTGGTTCTACACTGAACGTATAACTGCTCTTAGAGGGAAGTACAGAATCCAGTTTCTTCCTAACTGGAGTGTCTCACCAATCCAAAGCAGGCATGAAAGATTCTACATCTAAAGCATTTTCTATAAACTGTTTATCATATATCCAAACTTGCTTTCAAATATTGTGAGCATTGAATAACTCCTAACATGAAAAACTGAATGTAGCAGATTTCCCACACTTGCTCAAACATATCTACCCAGCTGTAAAACTCCCAAATGAACCATCAATAAAGAGAAGTAAAATAATACTAGGAAAAAGAGAAGATGAAATTGAAACTACTAGAAGAAGTTACAGAGGCTTCCTGAATACGATGCCATTAATTAATTCAGAGGAAAAGCTGACAAGCTCAATTACTATCACTGTTCCTAAATTCAATATGAAATGTAGGATAGTTAACACACACACACACACACATACACACACACACACACAGCACACAGATATACAAAAATACCTACATGCATACACTGACATATGTTATACATGCATGTACACATAAACACACATATATACACAAAGATATATACATTACACATACACACATATACATACAGACACACATAATGACATACACATATATGCACACATTACATACAAACACACAAACATACAGACATGTAACACATATACACAGCACTCATACATCCACAAACACACATATATACAGCATACAAAGGACATATAACACACACATATACACAGACATACACACACAATCATATAGATATACACAAACACACACATATAGGCAGATAGAAACATACAGACACACACATTGACACACACATACATACACACTCATACACAGCCACACCCACACCCCCACACACACTCATACACGTGCACAAACACATACAGAGACTCATACACATACATACATGAACACATGCAGGCACACAGTGCATCCACACAAACACAGAATAGATATAATGCTATAGCACAATTATTAAATACGCATAACTAAACTAAATAGGCCTGTCTCCCTCTGGGAAATATCCAATGTAGTCCTAACTCATAGGTTTTAGTAAATTCATTATCATTTAACATAAACTTAGATTGAACAGCAACAAAATGTTGTATCGTCTTAGGCAATCTCCGTCTCTCTCTGTCCCCTTCTTCCCTCTCTTGTCCCCCTGCCTCTCTTTGAGATGTGGTCTCATGTAGCCCAGGCTGGCCTTGAACTCTATATCATTAAGGATGACTATGAACTGCACATCCCTTCTGCTTCCACTTTCCAAGTGCTGGGATGGTGAGACACGCACTAGCGTGGTAAGACACACACTAGCGTGCCCCAACTCGCCTATGGATCTATTTTCACTACGGACAAACGTTGGACCTTAACAAACACAGTGTGACATAGTGCTTTTGGAAACAAGACCTGTTCAGTAAACCTTTCCTCTTGTGTTGTTTCTCCATTGCCCAACGGCAGTTATATTTATACTGTTCCTTGACAGTATTTCAGATGAAGCTAGTTTATACAGAATGCTCTCTTGAAACAGCATCCCTTTCCACCAAGCTTTCATTTAATTAGACTTACTGGAGGTGTGTCTATAATTAAAGGGGAGATTGTATGTTCCCTAATTACAAACTGTACTTTGTTGTTACTACAGATCTCGATGTATTTGTTCACATCCAATTCTCACACTGAACCCGATTCATAAGTCATGGGGGAAATACATACCTGCTCTCAGAGGTGCTGTGTGCACAGAGAGCTGAGCTGCAGTGGGGACCTGCCTGTCAGGACTGCTTCTGCATGGGACCCTCCACACAGGACGACCTGCCTCTCGGCAGTGCCTCTGGCCTGGGAACTTTACCTTGGCAGGCTTGTTGGCATCCATGCTCTCTTTGAATTTCTCCTGCACAGTTGCTGCAAGCTGACAGAGCAAGGCACCGTTATCCAGCTTCTCCATGAAGGTTTCTGCTGTTATCTCTCTCCCTGAAATAACACAAAAAGGCATTAGAAACGCACAGTCCTTCCCTAGCATGGACATCAGATTCATAGTAAAGAGCATTATTTCATTAGGAAGTGCGTCTCTTCATTCTCAGTGAATTCCCTGAAATGGGGACTGACTATAAGAGCGATTTATTTAGCATTTTATGTTTTCATTTCATAGTTGGAATTTCAATATTTTATATTCATTCTAATTGTACAAAAATTGTTTTTCATACTAATCTGACAAATGGTACCCTGGGTAAGAGATTCCCACCGTTTAGCAACCAGACAAAATGAAAACCAGTCAATGGAACTGAAAGAACCAGCCTTCTGCGGAACTCTGTATTTACAGAGGACAAGGGAAAACGAGTTAGAACTAAATGCCTGTTGACTGTCAGCGTGCAGAGACGTTGGGTCTCTCTGATCTGTTCAATCCTCCTCGTCCTTGGTAGCCCATTCAATGGTTTTGACCCGCAAAGCGGAACTGGTATTTCATATCCGTGATATATCTAGTTACAACACAATAGCACAATGGTGCCTGTCTAGCACTCATTAATGAATAGGTTCACTCTCCAGCAGCATGGAAGAAAAATCATGCGTGGTGGCACACACCGCAATCAAAGCTTGTGGAGGTAGAGGCAAGAGGACCAGACGTTCACAGTCATCTTTGGCTACATTTCAAGTTGAAGGCAGCCTGGGATACATGAGGCCCCGTCTCAAAATTAACCATCAATCAATCAACCAACCAACCAACCAACCAACCAACCAACCAACCAACCAACCAACCAATCAGTAAAATCAAAAGGGGCTGAGGCGATGACTCAGCTGTAAAGTTCTTGATAAGCAAGCATGAGGACCTGAGTTCAGAGCCCCAGCAAGGAAGGAACGAGAGGAAGGACACTCACGCCGGCGCGCACACACACACACACTCATGCATGCACACTCGCGCACACACACACGCACGCACACTCATGCATGCACACTCGCGCACACACACGCACGCACACTCATGCATGCACACTCGCGCACACACACTCATGCACGCACACTCGCACACACGCGCACACACACGCACGCACGCACACTCATGCATGCACACTCGCATGCACGCACACGCACACACGCACACTCATGCACGCACACTCGCACGCACGCACACGCACGCACACTCATGCATGCACACTCGCATGCACACACACGCACGCACACACATGCACGCACGCACACACACGGGGAGGGGGTGTGTGAAAAAAGAAAGCTGGGTACAGGCATTGAGGAGGCAGAGATAAGAGGCTCGCCTTCTCTGGGGTTTGCTAGCTCTAGTTTAGCTGAACCTATAAGCTCCAGGTTCAGTGAGGAACCCTGTCTAAAATGAAGGTGGAGGGCAACGAAGGAAGACATCTAGTTGGATCTCTGACCCCTCCATAACTTAAGCAAACACCACACAGGCATGTACACACACTCACACACACAAACACACACACACACGAATAAAAGAAACTAAAAAACGAAAACAAAAAAACTCTTTCATTCTTTTTAAACAGAACAACAGTATATAAATAAACCATCACAGATAACTCCAATAGAAAGGCTACTAAACTTCATCTAAACTATACTGAACCTCATTTCTAAACTGCACTAATACATTATCCTTGATTGAGTTTCAGGTAATATTGTTGCAAGAAATAAATCCTAAGTAAAAAGATAAAAACCATTTGAGCATTCCCCTCTGAACTCTGCCTTGAGATGGCAATTGCAGAGCTCAGCTCTGCTCCTCCCTCCCGGCAGAGTCTCACAGGGCCACCACAGCTCTTAAGAGCTTATGGTCCTTAAACCAGTATCTCCACACTTGACTCAGTCAGTCATTTCCTTCCCTGAGGTGATCCCCACGGTGTATTTTTTTCCCCTTTTCCCCTTTCATTTTGAGATGACTTTACTGAGATCTATTCCGTGTCTTTTATCAATTGCCCCTTTAATGTACATAATTCAAATACTGTGCATATATTCAGAAATGTAGTCATCACTGTAATTTCAGAACATCTTTATCGTATCCCAAGGAATCCAAACCCTTTAGCTCCCTGATCCCCCCCAACCATGTAAATGGAACCACCAGCTGTAGCTGTCACAGCTCATCTTTCCCAAGCCCCCTCCTTTGCTTGAGTCCTCATTTCCAGGGTTTTTTTTTCCCCTACAACTTGAAAGTCACAAGTCCTGTTGTTTCAAGCTGTCTCTTTTGCCCATGCCATCATGGTTTGATGACTGACCTAAACGCCACCAGAATGGGGGCTGTTTCCTAGACCTGCACACTTTTTAGTGGTACACACCATCTTTCCTGATCTAGTATTCATTCAGGCACCCTTACTAATGCTCTTCATCCCAGCTCTATCTTGCAAAAAATATCTATGCAATGAATCCCAAACCAATGGCCTCCATTGATGCCTCCAACCGCCTCTGTAATCAAATGCTTTTATCTGTCTGCGGTCCACATATGCCTTGATCAGGCACCACACAGACTTTCTACTTTTTCCTTGCATGCCTTCAGTGCCCTGCTCTCTCTCTGGCTGAATTCCATCTTCCCTTATACTGCTTCCCAGAAGTGATTTACCGGAGCTCACTGCTCTCTTCTGTATGGTCATTCTCACAAATAGCTTTTGTGTTCTGGGTGTATATCCAACATATTTCTCCTTTTGCAAATACGTTTTGTATAAAGCTCTACTTTCGTGAATATGGTGCAAATCACTTGAGACGTGTCTTTTTAAATCTCCTACAGTACTGGGATGTAGCTTGGTTGGTACAGTGCTTGCTTGGCACATACAACGCCCCGAGTCCTGCTCTGAGCTCTGATGCACACAGTTATAACTGCAGTACTCAAGGGGCGTGGGGAGCAGGACTAGTTTAGGGCCAAGACCTTGTCTACAAATACATGCACTTTAAAAACGAAATCTCCTACAGAGGTAAGCACCATGTGCTTACGTGATGGACACTGGGTAAACGCAATCAGCAAGGGTGTAAATTATCAAATAAAAGTTCTAGATAAATCTTGACAAAACACTGGGGTGAACACAGACCTATTTTCTTATCTTAAGAGAAATGAAGGTTATGCAACTCCATAGGCATGTAAATATAGCCCAGACGAGTCACAGGTAAACTACTGATTTAGACTGACAGTATCCACTATCTGAATTTTTAAGAAACATCTGTTTAAAATGACTTTTATGCAATGTAGACAGGGGTACATAAGAGGGAGAGGGGGCAGTTCTTACATTCTCTTTCTCCCTGCTGGATAGTTCACTTTTTAGCCTCTGGTTAAGATAATGACTTCTGCAGGCGGCAGTGCTCAGAGTGCTGGCCACAGAGGCTCACCGTGCAGGCTGCTCTTATTTCAGAATTGCACGGAGTGTAGTCAACTCAGAAATGAATACCGGAGTCTTGAGACATAAAATCTGAGCAGAACAGATTGTATGCTATGCTCCCAATACTGGTCCAATGAGGAGAAAGTTATCTTGCAAACAGGCATGGCACATAAGTACCAGAAATAGTTGTCTAAAATAAATTGTCAGTTTATTGAGATGAGTTTAAATAGCAAGATGAGCAAACCTTACACCAAGTTCTTAACTGATTTTGTTGAATGATTCTTTTCTAAATTGCTTAGAAGTTACTCTGCCTCTGGAAGGGAGCTTGATGTCTTCTCACTTAGTGAAACTCCACAGCACTTGAGAGATCCTTCCTCATGTTTTCAAGCGATGAGAGGATTACAATAATTGAAAAGAATTTTTAATAATGAAAAATAGTTTTCATTAAGGAATCATCAGAAATTTGCCCAGAGTTATACTTTTCACTTGATTTGCTTTGGAACTCACAAGTGTCCATTGTCCTGCTCTCTATGAACTTGAAAAAAAAAAAACTTTATGCTGAACATCTGCATCCAATGAAGAATATATTAGGTGTCAGCTTTCAATTCTGTGTATTTTATGGCTTAGAAAGGTGGTTTTTTTTTTTTTTTTTTTTTTTTTTTTTGGCTAAAACAGAGACTGTTATATACTTTATAGTTGAATGGGCCGCCTCAAATGAAGGAAAAATGCAAGGCTGAAAAGTTCTATTTTAAAAATCCTTTACATGTAATAATATATTTTCCATCCAACTCTTAAGAGTCATTAAATATATATTTCCAACGTGCTGTATGGTACGAAGCCAGTTATAATGCTTTTATGGAATGGCACACGACTTCACTCATATTCCACACATACCACTAATGGTGTTTAAGGACAAGGCACGCATAACACAATGCCAGTTGGGTTTGCCCTTAACAAATCCATAAAAGCAGGCTGTGAAGACCGAATTACAATTCTGTGAGTAAAATGAACATGGAATTAATGGTCCTCTTCATCTTGCTGTGATCAGTGACTCTCGTTATCACGTTATAAACACCGTACGAGGCGTCTCTGCAGGCGGAGCATTGCCACATCCTCATCCCTACCCCTCCCATGTCAAAGCACATTCAGAGAGTCAAGAGAGATAGACAGCATTCACGGAAACATCCTGGAGTACCAGACGCTTCAGCCACACATGCCATGGGCTTGACGGTCAATCTAAGATACCCTGCCCTTGAAGTCATATTATTATTTTTCTGCATCTGCAGCAGTGAACTCTGTCTTCACAGCCTTTCTCTAGTGACTGGCAGCTGGCTGGTAGATAGCGATCAAGGCGTCTGCTGAGCACCGTGGTTGGACACTTCCCCTTATAGCACGGGACTGAAGGAAGGAAATTAGCATCAGCCTCAGCATTTTTAGGGAGGGCTTGGGTAACATGAGTGCTCATGTACATCCAATACGCAATAGCTTCCAGAGAAATGCCATGGTTTCCTGAAAGACTGGCTATCAATCCACGAAATGCTTTAGTTTGGCGCTATATGAGGGTGGGGGCAAGCATCCCTTTATCTTCTACTGGAGGAAGATGAGATGTGTTTTACCCCCCAAAATTAGCAGTAGTAGATTCCCAAAGAA